GAACTCTTCTCTTAAAATGCACTGTCAGACATATAGTTGGCAAATATTTTTTCCCAATCTGTGGGTTGTCTCCCCACTGTTTTGTTGGATTCTTTGGCTTTGCAGAAGCCTGTCAGTTTGATGAGATCCCACTTGTCTATCTTATCTCTTATGGCTTTGGCGCTTGGAGTTTTGATCAGGAATTGGTTGCCAGTTCCAATTTCCATAAGGGTGTCTCCTGCGTTTTCTAAGGTTCTTATAGTTTGAGGTTTTACATTTAAGTCTTTGATCCATTTAGAGTTAGTTTTTGTGTATGGTGATAGGTAGGGATCTTGTTTTAATCTTCTGTAAAGGCTTAACATCTAGGATCTACAAGAAACTCAAACGTGCTGAAACGAAAAAAACAAACAGCCCCATTACAAAGTGGGCAAAAGATATGAACAGACAGTTCTCAAAAGAAGACATGCAAACAGCCAACAGATAACGTGAAAAAATGCTCAGCCTCACTAGTCACCAAAGAAATGCAAATTAAAACTACACTGAGAGACCACCTAACACCAGTCAGCATGACTATCATCAATAACTCAAAAAACAGATGTTGGAGAGTATGTGGTGAAAAGGGAACATTTTTCCACTGTTGGTGGGAGTGTAAACTACTACAGCCTCTGTGGAAAACAGTGTGGCGATTCCTAAAAGATCTAAAAATTGATCTGCCATACGACCCCACAATCCCCCTACTGGGAAAATACCCGGAAGAACTCAGATCACTCTATAAAAAAGATACCTGCACATGTATGTTTGTCACAGCACTGTTCACAGTAGCAAGAACATGGAACCAACCGCGCTGCCCATCAAAAGAGGACTGAATTTTTAAAAATGTGGTACATATACACGATGGAATATTACACAGCCATAAAGAGGATCAAAATCATGAACTTCACAGCAACCTGGATGGACTTAAAGTCTATAATACTCAGTGATTTGTCACAGAAGCAAAGAACTGAGTATCACATGTTCTTACTCATAAGCGGACCTTGAACAACTGTGATACTTTAAGTAAAGGATTGGCAGTAGCAGGAAACTGCTGGGGGTGGGGGTGGGGAAGCAGGATTGGCTGTGGTGGGAATCTGCCTGGGGAAGGGGGGGTACACTTCATCAACAAGGATACCTGCATAATGAACATTTGTATACCTAACCCTGAATTGTACCCCACATCTTTAAAATAAAAAAATTTTTAAAAAATGCACTGTCTTAGCAGGCTCACCAGCCAACCTGCCATGCAGGCAGTACCCTCTCCATCTTTCCCTGTATTTCCAGCATCAAGCTTTCCTGATTTTACCACCTCTAGTATTGCAGGAATCTGCCAACTTCCTCTACCTCTGCTGCCTCCCCACACTCTGCCAAGCTCCCCTCTCTGTCTCGTGGGAGTCCATAGTAGTTGCCTCCCAGTGCTCCTGAGCATGTCAGCGAGCCCCTTCATGCCATGTGCCTTCTCAGTCTCTGTACTTTTCTCCGATGAATGGTGCCTCTTGTCCCCAGAGCCTCCCGCTTCCTGCCCTTTCATTCTCCACACCACTGTCACCGCCCAGGGAAACCTCACCTGTCCCCTCTGCCTTGGCCTGGGCCTCTTTCATACTTGTTCATGGTTGATGCCCTTCTCCCTCGTGACACTTGTCATCATTACAATTCTACACTTGGGCAGTTCTTCAGTTAATTCATCTGCCCCTCTGAACCAAAGCCCTGTGAGAGTGAAGACTGGAGTCAGAGCGGTACCTACCACAGAGTGGACTCAAAAGTTGCGCTGGGTGTGAGGATGGGTGGGGAAGCAAAGTCGGTAAGGCAGACTGTTTACACATTCCATTTTGGCTGAAACATTGCCAATCTTTTTTCCACAAAACATTTCCCAGAGCAGAGATAATGTAACAAAAAGGACTCAAAAAGTTTCTCCCCCCTCCACTTACTTTCTACAGGAAATACTGATTTCAACTGCCGAGAGAGGAATCAAGGCATTTGGAGGATCCACTGTGTAGATCATGTGCTTTAAAATAATCGGTGTTTGATCCTACTTCCACATTGGGTTTCGCTTTTTCAGTAATCCCTTGAAGCCCAGATGTGATAGGCATCATTTGTTGTGTTCTCTGAAACTTTCTTCTGTGTGAAAGTGATATGGAGTTGACTGTCTGTTAGCTTGTCCTTGTCATACTGCACTTTCTGTCTTCTTTATACTCTTTTTTTAGTGCCATAAGACATTGAAACACTGATTGAGTTGGCACCTACCTTCATTTTAATTGTGTTTATGGTCACAGGACTTGGATTTCCATTCTGATTTTCTTTTTCTTTTCCTGTTATTTTTCAAACTTTGAGATTCTGTTGGTAGCATAAAGAAAAATTTTAATTTTTCACAACTATACTCTGAGAATTACTTCGTGTTGTAAGATACTTCAGTAGACTGAAGAGAAGAAGTTATATGAGGTTAGATTTCTGTTTTAGTTTAATGGGTTTAAGAAACTAGCTGTCAGTGTGGTTGTTATTCCTTTGTTTAGTTCTGTTGTTTCTCTCTGGTCACCTTTTTTTTTTGCATTTGGTATTCTATCATTTAACTACAGTATATCTAGTTGAGCTTTGACTATTATTTATATTGCTTTGAATATTCTGTGTCCAAGGATTTTTTTTTAAGTTTTTTTTTTAGACATGGAGGGTCTTGCTCTGTCTTCCAGGCTGGTGGTCAGTGACTCAATCATAGATCACTGCAGCCTCAAACTCCTGGGTTCAAACCATCTTCCCACCTTAGCATCCCAAGAATCTGAGACTACAGGCATGTGCAGTCTTGCCTGGCTAATTTTTTATTTTTTAGAGACAAAGGCTCACTCTGTTACCCATGCAGGTCTCAAACTCCTGGCCTCAAGCAGTCCTACCTCCATCCCAAAGCTCTGGGATTTTTTGCATGAGCCACCATACCTGGCTGTATATCCATAGTTTCAAGCATTCATCAGTTCTGGAAAATTATCAAACATTATTATAACTTCAAATATTAATCATCTTTGTTGATTCATCTTCTTTTTTTTTTTTGAGTTGGCGTCTCATTCTGTTGCCCAGAATGAGACTTACCACAGCCTTGGCCTCTTGGGCTCAGGTGATCCTTCTGCCTCAGCCTCCCAAGTAATTGGACTACAGGTGCGCCCCACCGTGCCCAGCTAATTTTTTTTATTTTTATTTTTTGTAGAGATGAGGTCTTGTTATGTTTCCCAGGCTGGTCTTGAACTCCTGGCCTCAAGTGATCCTCCTGTCTCAGCCTCCCAAAGTGCTGGGATTATAGGCATGAGCCACTGCACCTGACCTTTATCATCTATTTCTTTATATATTTTACACAAAGTTTTTGTTTTTTATTCTGTATCTGATCATCCTAATAGCTGAAAAATCTTCAAAATATTAATAGAGTTTTGTTATCTTGTGAGCTCATGTTTGTGTGAGCTCCATCTGTGGTACTCCTGGAGTCCTGGGTGGGGGGGTGCTTTCCCCCAGAGACCATTTACATTTACTTCTGCTGAGTGGGGCCACTTCCAAAGGTTTTCTTCAAGGATCCCGGTTTAATGTTGATGTCTTTGGTTGAGCTCCCTAACTTTCTTTTGGCCTAAGAAAAGCCTGAAATTGACATTTATCCTCAGAGAAACCGCTGTTTTCACCTTGCTTGATGGCCACCACACTCTGGATTGAACTCACTTTGGGGGAAGAAGAAAAGTGTCTTGGAAGTTCCCTCTGCTTTCTGTGAACCCAGCACTATGTTAAAAACTCTCCTCTGTCGGGGAACTCGCTCTTTTGTTGTTTGCTTGTTTTTGTAGCTGAGAATCCTTCAGGGTACCTTCCATTCTACTGGAAGCAGATATCTTTTTTTTTTTTTTTTTTGAGTTGGAATCTCACTCTGTCACCTAGGTTGGCAGTGGCACACTCACGGCCACCCCAGCATCGACCTGCTGGGCTCCGGCACTTCTTCTGCCTCAGCCTTCTGAGCAGCCAGAACTACAGGCATACGCTACCATGCCCAGCTAATTTTTGATTTATTGTAGAGATGAGGTCTTGCCAAGTTGCCTGGGCCAGTCTCGACCCCACAGGCTCAGTCAATCCACTCTCTTTGGCCTCCCAAAGTACTGGGATTACAGACTGAACTACCAAGCCTGGCCAGTGAAAATCTTTAAAGTGGTTTTTATTGCTAGCCACAAAGGAAGTATAGCTTCTGGACCAAGATGAAAAAATAATTAACCAAAAGAAAGTTCAAGTTTTTAAAAATCAGAAATGTTCCTGCCAGTCACCAGTACTTGTCCCCTGGAAGCACATTTTTGCTTTTGTTCTTGACCCCTGTTCAACCCATCCCCCTCTTATTTAGTCCCAGCCCATGTGTCTTCCTCCTTCTCTTAAAGAAAGTTCTTTTGGTAAATTCATGCCCCACTCCAATGTTTATTTTTAAATTTAGTTCCTTTAAGGAAAGTAAAGAGCACGTGAATGACAGTGTTGACTTTGAGTATCCAAAAGTATAATTCATGTCTATTAAATTGATAAATATTTACATCAGAAATGTAAAATCCTTCTCAGATTTTTCTTTACAGAGAGGATTGTCATGGTCGTGTGATCAAAGGGACTTTGGGTTGAGGTTCTAGAGGAAAAGTAGAGAGAATAGGTGGGGGAGAAACTGAGCCTCTGTGTGACCTCAGAGACGGGTGGCATGAGAACTGAACTTCAGTATTCCTTTCTTATTGCTGCCGTTGGCGGCTACCACAGGCCCAGTGTGAGACATACATAAGAAGTGGGAGTTGGAGCTGGATAGGAGATGGAAGTAAAGTCCAATAAAGGAGTGAGGAAGGCAGGAAGAGAGAGTTTAGGATGGGAATAAGGAGGAAGGTGGATGGGCTGGCAGACAGGGAAGTTCTTGTGTCCACCATGATTTTTTGGCAAGGAACATGTTCAAGTCAAGGGCTTCCTACCTAGATAATAATAACCTGTGCCATTTATTTTATATTTTTCTAGATCAATGAACTGAGCCATGTTCAAATCCCTGTTATGTTGATGCCAGATGACTTCAAAGCCTATTCAAAAATAAAGGTGGACAATCACCTTTTTAACAAGTAAGTACAAGTACGTAACCTTGTGTAGGATTGATGTAGCTGCTAGGAGTATGATTTTTGTGAATTTCTGTAATCACATAATTTTTCAATGGGTGGGAGTAAAGTTTTGCTGATGAAGTTAATCCTGTGATAAACATAACCATCTGTCATTTTCAGAGAAGCAACAGCAGGCCCTCTGGGATAATATCCTTTGCCATATGGTGTATTGTTCTCTATGAATATCTTATACGTTGAAAGTGATACTCTCATTACAATTTGAATTTTTGAAGCTGTAAATTGCTTGGGTTTTTGAGCAGTTATGAACCTCTGCTCTCTTACACAAAACTTTGAAAATGATGAATTTATGAACAGCAATTACTATATCATGGAACAATAAAGAATGAAGGTACAATTTTATAAAACATAATTGGATGCTATGCTGGGCATTGAGAACATTTTTCCTTCATTTGAATATCATTTTAGATGTCACCATAAAGCACCTACTGTGTGTTAGGCAGTCCATTGAGAGCCAAAGATGCAATGATGCATAAGACATGACCCTGCCCTTAAGGGGCTCACAGTAAGGCCAGTAGTTTAAAACTGACACATAGACAAGTTATTATATACAGTATACGAAAAAGAGAGGGCTGTGTATGTATATAATTTATAGATCTATTTGGTGCTATGGAAACATAAAAGGGGAAGCAATTCTTTTTTTTTTTTTTTTTTTTTGAGTTGGAGTCTTACTCTGTTGCCCAGGCTGGAGTGCAGTTGCACGCTCCTGGCCACTGCAGCCTCTACCTGCTGGGCTCAGGCGATCCTTCTACCTCGGGAAGCAATTCTCAATAATTAGGGTGGGCCTCAAAGAAATTCCTCCCACATGAGGATCAGTTATGACATTTCTTAATGGGACAGTTGACCTAATATGAAGCTGATGTGTTCATTTTTCTCATAATACTGTTTAGAGGTTAACTTTTTGAAGGAATTTTCTCTATGCAAGTTTAGAATGTGGTATTTATATTTAAAAAAGGTCATTCAGGGAGTTTGGGAGCAGGCTTGCTTAGTAAGCTTTGCTGGACAGTGACTGAGAACGAACATGGGGACTGTGTGTGGTTTACTGCCCTTTTCTAACTCTCCTGTTGCTGTACTTTGTCTTCACTGTTTCCTCTGTCCTTGGTGTTCCCCTCTTCTTCCTTGCAAAAGGGCTGCAATGTGTAGCCAAAATTAAAGAGGTGATGCAGTCCAAGTGTGCCATTGACAAAGGAGGCAGGCATTATTTTTCTGGCCCCTTCTGTCTCCCAGATCTTCCTGTGGGTTGTACCTGGTTCTAGGAAATACACCTGTGCCTTCTGTAGACAGTGAACTCCAAGCCCTTCTTTGGCTATGCATAGAAATAAATGGTGGCAAATCCAAGTCTGTTTAATGCTTTGTCTGACTTAGTTTTGTTTCTCACCGTGACCTCAGAGAGAACATGCCGAGCCACTTCAAATTTAAGGAGTACTGCCCAATGGTCTTCCGTAACCTGCGGGAGAGGTTTGGAATCGATGATCAGGATTTCCAGGTGAGTTGCTTGTGTAACATTTGCTTCAAGTGGCAAATGGGTTTCACCATGCCTTTTCTTCTGTAAAATAAGATTTAAGATTTATGTTTTTGTCAATACAAGTAATTATATATAGTAGTTTTCATTTTGGGTAAGAAGTTTTCAGTGTTCTTTCTGAAGCAAAGGATTCTCTGTTAGGGACTTTTATGCACTATGACTTCAGTGTTAAAGTTGGTAGGAAAAGAAATGATTAAACTTTGGAAGGAGATCAAACAAGGGTTTTTTAGAACCCTTTCATTTCCAGGTGGAAGCATTCTACCAGCAGAGTCACCTGTGATTTCTGTGATTTGATTGGTCCACAGCCTATGCAAGTGTGCTTGTGTGCTGAGTTCACATTTCCCATCTTTTGGAGACCCCTTAAGAATCTCAGAAATTTTCTTGCTGATTTGCTGCTTTCCAAGTTGGGAAACTTGGACTCTTGCTGCAGTATTTTTGTCAAAGGCCATCTGTTGTGCACTGCAATGCTGGACTTTAGTGTCAGTGACCTCAGGAGCCCACCATCCTGGGCACGATTCTGTATCTTCCTCCTGCTCTGCTTGCCACATAAACATGTGCACTGTTGCTTTCTCCATGTACTAACCTGGTTCTCCATTTTAACTTTTAAATATCTGTTTTAACTTTTAAAATATCTTCTGTTCCATGATCATTTTTCCTTAGAAAGAACTTGACATTAGAAAGAGCAAGTCATATTCATAAGCACTAACGATTATTTAAAGAGCATCCCTAATCAAAAAAATCTGAAATTTGAAATGCTCCAAAATCTGAAACTTTTTGAGGGTCAACTTGATGCTACAAGTATAAAATTCTCTATATGAGTACTTAATACAATCTTTGTTTCATGCACAAAATTATTTAAAATGTATAAATGTGTAAAATGTTGTATAACTCAGGCTATGTGTATAAGATAGATATATGTATATTATGAGAAACATAAATTTTGTGTTTGGACTTGGTTTCCATCCCCAAGATATCCCATTATATATACAAATATTCTAAAATTCCCCACCCCCCAAAAAATCTACAATCTGAAGCACTTTTGGTTCTAAGCATTTCAGATAAGGGATACCTAGCCTGTACTGACTTATATTAAATCTCTTCAAATTTAGTAAAAACTTTATCTAGTTGCCCTAAATTTAAAGTTCTAATTTATCTTGTATTAAATGCCATATATTGCCACAGTGGGCGACCTTACAATTTGAGTATTGACACAGCTTAACCTTATCTTTCCCTAAAGAATAGAGTCCCTAAGGCAAACCCAGCTTAGTTAGTACACATTCTTAAAGATGTGTGTGTGTTCCCACTTCCTACTCCACCCTACCTCATTGCTGAAAGTTTCCAAAAATTTCTCACATGGTCACTCAGCTGGCCAGACTGCCAGTGACATTCCGTCATTATGCACTGGAGTCATGGTTTGCATGGGATCCAGGATCTGAGCTGAGGCTCTGTGTATCCAGGAGAGGCTGAGGGCTAGTGAGCCAGGCAGGATGTGGGCACTCATTTGCTCTTGAGACTGTACAGAAGTCCACATTCCTGTTAGGGCTTTTTTCCTTTTTTTTAAAAAAAGACAGAATCTCACTCAGTTGCCCAGGTTGGAATACAGTAGTTTCATCAGAGGTCACTAGTGTCAAACTCCTAGGGTCTAGCAATCCTCGAGCCTCAGCCTCCCAAGGAACCAGGATGGCAGGTACACCACCATGCCCGGCTAACTTTTAAAGTTTTTAGAGGTGGCTGTTTTGTCCAGACTTGTCTTAAACTCCTGGCCTCAAGCGATCCTCCCACCTTGTCCTTCCAAAGTGTTGGGATTACAGACATTGGCCACTGTGCCTGGACTGCCTGGACGTGGAGGTTAATTTTTTTTTTTTTTTGAGTTGGAGTCTCACTCTGTCGCCCAGGCTGGAGTACAGTGGCACACTCACGGCCACCGCAGCCTTGACATGCTGGGCTCAGGCGATCCTTCCACCTCAGCCTTCCAAGTAGCTGGAACTACAGGTGCATACTACCATGCCTGGCTAATTTTTTTGTTTATTGTAGAGACGAGGTCTCGCCATGTTGCCTAGGTTGGTCTTGAACCCCTGGACTTAGGCAATCCTCTCTCCTTGGCCTCCCAAAGTATTGGTATTACAGGCTTGAGCCATCATGCCTGACCTGGAGCTTAATTTTTTTTTTTTTTTTTGAGTTGGAGTCTCACTCTGTCACCCTGACTGGAGTGCAGTGACCGCTCCCGACCACTACAGCCTCGACCTGCTGGGTTCCGGCGATCCTTACGCCTCAGCCTTCCAAGTAGCTGGCACTACAGGTGCGTGCTTCCACGCCTGGCTAATTTTTGATTTATTGTAGAGATGAGGTCTTGCCAAGTTGCCCAGGTGGGTCTCGAACCCACGGGCTCAAGCAATCCACTCACGTCGTCCTCCCAAAGCGCTGGGATTACAGGCTGAGCCACTGAGCCCGGCTTGGAGCTTAATTTTTAAGAGCAAACTTAGATCACAATTATGGACTTGAAATTTATTGCTGAAAAAAAAAATCACTTTTAAAGAATAATTGTTGTAATAGTAAATTGAGTTTGTATGAAATAAAAAGAAATAATTCTGTATCATTTAATAACATTACATTTGAAGAGGTCATATGAAAATTCACTAGGTACTTTAAAAGGAATTAACCGCAGGTGAATTTGATGTCTTGTGAAAATCTCCTTTGCCTGAGTCTGGTCCTAAACACTAATGTATCCCTCCCTCTTTCCCCTTCTTTTGTTTTTTTTTGTGTTTTTTTTTTTGTTTTTAAATAAAACAGCTTCACTGGCATTTCACAGAAAATGACTTTTGAGGGCCCATGCTGCAATGTCTTGTTAGAGTCCTCAATTTATTACCAAAATGAAGTCTGTATTTCTTCTCTTAACCAGTTCTGCCAAATGATATCCAAAATGAACCCATTACATTCTGAGTTCTGCACTGCAGCAAATAAAAGTCTTAAAATTTTCCTCAAATGACCAATTTAATGGCTAAAAAACTAAGAACATGAACCAGCTTTCCTTCCTTCTTTTCCCCCTGAAAACAAAACCCTGTAAGTTGATATTTAAGTACGTGCAAATTGCTGAGTACAATCTTTGAAGGGAAATTAGGCAAGTGAAGGATGATTCACAAGGAACTAATTGGCAAGTCTGTGAAACTCTTCACATGAGAACCCAGGATTGAGGAGAGTTGGTGTGAGTGTAATTAATCATTTGAACACTCCTCTCCTCAGTCAGCTCTGCCTGGTGCTTTTGGCATTTAAATTGCTTCTTTCTCTTTGGCAACGATATTTCTGTTTTTTTTTTAACTGGTTGTTCAGAGTAACTTTGGTAAACCAGAGGTATACTTATCTTCCCTCTCCAATCTTATATTTCTTCTCCAATGTCTATACCTCTTAAAAAATGTCCAATAGGGGAAGGGACCCTGAGTTTCTACTGTATATAAGATTTTAAATGTGGGGTTGAACCCAGTTTGTTTACTCACTTTGTAAAAAGGAAGACAATTGTGACAACTCTGGCTCTGGGGTTACCCTGTAGGCCCCTGTGAACTGCAGGGGTGCAGCTGGAAGGCAGGCATGGGCCAGGGCAGGGGCGCTGCCATTTCAGGGGCGCTGCCATTTCAGCTGCTTGGCATGTTGCTGCTTCACTGCCCAGACAATTCATTCATCATGGCCAGTCCATGTAGCAAATACCAGTTGACATGACACACGTAGCACCAAGTAATTAAAAGCAGTTTCCTTTTCCTCTTCTGTAGCTTGGTTAACATATACTTGCTGAGCAGAGTCCCCCACTGGCCACCTCTGCTATTCCTGGGTACCAGCCACTGAACATTGTGTTTCAAAGAGGAATCCCTAGCCGGGCTTGGTGGCTCAGCCTGTAATCCCGCGCCTTTGGGAGGCTGAGGTGAGTGGATTGACTGAGCCCGCGGGTTCGAGACCCGCCTGGGCAGCGAGACCTCATCTCTACAATAAATCAAAAAAAAAAAAAAAAAATCAGCCGGGCATGGTAGCGCATGCCTGTAATTCTGGCTACTCAGGAGACTGAGGCGGAAGGATCGCCGGAGCCCAGCAGGTCGAGGCTGCGGTGACCGGGAGCGGCCACTGCACTGTAGTCTAGGTGACAGAGTGAGACTCCAACTCAAAAAAAAAAAAGAGGAATCCTTTTTCTGAACCCATCAGTGAGAGCTATTTTGAATACCCTTTCTCAATCTGATTTGGAAAGGAGAATGGTGATTTAGGATAGCATTATCTTTTGAAGGCACTGAATTTCTAAAGGAGACCAGGCATTGCCATGCTGTGTTTATTTTCCTGAAGTGCTTGGGACAAGTAGCCTTGAGTCAACATGAAGGTTAGGAGCTCCATCATCTAGTTCATTTCATATTTCGGACCTTTCCATTCAGTCAGATGGGTAAATGGTCCCGACTTGTCTTGTTTGAGTGAACACCTTTTGCTTCTCCTGAAAAAAGTCAGCAATGATTCATGGACACACTCTGATAAAAGTAGAACACAGTAATTAGCCTACCTAATTGGCTTCTGTTGGTGAACTTAACTTCTTAAAAGGAACTGAAAGTATTCCTGCTGTCCCAGTAAGCATTTGTACTTTTCCTCTGATTTTGATTTCTTGGATGTCTTTTAAAAATAAAGCTTCTATTCCTTGCTGCTAAAAACAAATTCAGACAATATTTAAAGAAAATTCATCATGAATAACAGTACCATGCAACACACAAATGTAAACCAGAGTATGTATGCGTGTATCCAGTGCTTCCAGATTCAGAACTTTCTCCAATACATTAATGCTTTTAAAAATTATATATTTAGTTTGCAGTATGCTCAGAGTTAAATTATATCCTTCCTATCATCGTTTGACCAATGTGGTGCCCAATTACTACACTTTTAAGATGTGTTTTCAAGATGAATACTTTAATGAACGTAAGCCTCTCAAGTGACTGTTACTGCAC